CCTAATTGAAAGCACTTACATCTTTAGAGTACACCAATGATGCAAAGATTTACCTGTGGTTATGGGGGGGGAAATGTGTGCAGGCTGTTTCACAAAGAAACACTGTGTATGCCCCTTCTCCTCAAGAGTCTGTCTTTTGTGCCTTCAGTACCTACAGGAGTGATCAGGAATGCACAGAGTTTGCATTCCTGCAGATACATTATCTGAAAGTGTGGCCCTTTGTTTGCTTTCCTCCTGTTTTGTTCTGTTAGTCCTTCACTGTAAGAGAGCCCTGTTTATACATTCCATTTTTCTTGGTCTTCTTGGCACCTTGCAGTCAAACACTGCTCCAGCTTGATCCCTTGCTTTACTATGCACTGGGAGTAGAGCCTATGTAAGAGCAGACAAAAGAGGGTTCTTGCCATCTGATGATTTCACTTCTAGCTCTCCAGCACCTTTTGTTATTTCAGGGTATTTTTTCCTGATGGGAACGGGCACATTCAGCTGTTGTTTTCATGCTGAAAGCCTGTGTGGAAGCACTTCCCTGTTGTTTTTTTTTTTTTTTTTCCAGACATGTCTTTCAGCATGTTTCCAAAGGCTTGGAATCAGCATATTGTGTTGTGACATGTGCATACTTGACATTGCTTTGTTCTCTGACTTCCTTTTGCTTGCAATCTTTAGGAAGTTATCTTACAAATAGAAAGGAATTTTGAGTCAGTGTTATTGCAGACCCAGCATATTGTCCTCTGCCATCTGCGAAGAAGAAAGCCTGGAGGAGCAGGAGGGAAGAAAGTCATTTTGATATTTTTAACTGCCTGAACCACGTAGGAGTCAGTTCACTGCATATAGAGTGACTGCAGCTCTGACTTCTGCCAGAAAAAAAAAATTGCATTACACATCTCAAACACTTTTTTATTAAATGAATTAAAGGAAAAGCAAGGGCATTGTGGTAATCATATGCAATTTGATACATCCTTTTTCTGTGTTTCGCTCTTGATTAATGATTCTCTTACCATACAGCAAAAGTGACAAGGTCTCTTTTTCCTGAGAAGCTTACAAAGAATTCTTTTTTTAATTTATTTTTCAAATGTGCACCTTTATGTAAAGGAGCTCTGTTCATTTCTATTGTAAATGAAGCCAGTAAAAACAAAAAAACAAGTTTTGTATGATCTCAGCGGTAAATGCATTCCTATTTAGCTGACCATAAAGCACAGATTTTTCAAAATTTTATGGTGCTGTCCATTTCTTTCTTGTATTTTAGACCATCAGCTTCCTACAGCACAGACAAGAAGCCAATTGGTTTTGAACTGCTTCCCTGTACAGGCAACACGGCTCAAGAAAGGGGAAAATGGCAGCTCATTTTGGGCAGGAGGGGAAACCTTGAGAGCTGTCTCAGAAAAGCTTCCACATGGAAAGCCTTGCTTTCCCACAGCCCAATCAGGCACCACCTGGCAATACTGAAAACACCGTTAAAAGTGTAAACACACTGAAATGCTTACCACCATGCCAGAAAAAAAGAGTTGGAGTGGCAATAAGAGACTGTGCCAGGAAGAAAGCCATACCCATGTTGATGTAACACGGAGACCTCCTCCACTGGAATGGTATCTGCAGTCAGCTCCTGACTTCTGGACAGGAGTGAGGGACATACCATGCAGTCACACAAGACCCCTTGGCATGTCACCATGGCATTAGGCATGTGTACTACACCTCTCTGAGTATCAGCTTACTCTGGGTGTAAACACTCAGGTTTTAACTTTTTTTGCATTATTTCATAATAGATGTATGATTAATAACAGCACTGTACAGGCAAGCGTTTGTCCATTATGAGAGAGGTGGAGAAAGCATCTCCATAAGTAATATTCTGAGTAGCTTTTTCTTTACGTGCCATTGAACACACATTGTAATGTTTGGAACAAAGATTTTGGTGTCAGGAGGCCTCATCTTCCTACTGAAATGGAGAGATTTTTTTTCCCTTGGAGTCAATAAAAGTGTAATAAAACATGTGCTTCAGGCTTCAAGACCCAACCTGAGGAAACAGAGCTTTTCACAGACACACAGAGGATCTCCAAGCATCAGCAAGGAGTTTCTGCTTTTCACTGTGATGATTTCTCTCCACCAAATCCCCTAAAAGACACCACTTGAGTGCATCCACACAGTGGAGGGTATATAGAGTGACACCCAAATAAACAGCAGCTGGACTGATTTCCCAGCTGGATTCTGCAGGGAAGCGTGGGTGCAGGGCTCTGCTCGAGCTGTGAGAGCAGCCCCACAATTTCCAGCCAGCACCGCACAGACAATGCAGGATTTCCCAGAGACGGATCGGATGTCGGAGCACCACAGTCCCTGGCTCTGGATAGACAGGCTGGGCCCATCACAGGAAGTCCAGAATATTGAGCAATTATTCAACCACTGAGCAAGACAGGGCTATTTAGATCCCACATGGTAAAATGTTGCTTAATTTTTTTCGTTAGGAGCTCTCCCTCTGAAATCTGTTTCAGATCACTGCATAGCAGGGAGAGCGTATGTCAAAGTCTGTGCAAGACAGAGAGCTCGCAGCATAACAATGAATAAAATGTAAAGTATATATTTGCCAAAAATACAGGAATCATAATTCATACAGCTATAACAGAAGGAAAGAAAATCATGCTGGAAATTCTAACATAAGAAAATTAACAAGAAGGAAATAGCTAATCCTTGGGGATAGGAAAAAGGCTTTTTTTAATGTTAGAAGTTTAGGATTTCCCTTGTTTATGGCAAAAAATTCCAGACAATTCAGTTTACTAACTCCACAATCTAAGTATTAAAGTGTATGGGACACAAAACCAACAAGAGCAAAGAGAAAATTATTCTCCCCTTACAAATTTGTTTTCAGTCATTCAGTAAGTGCTTTCTATTGCTACCATATAAATGGCATTGTGGGTGCTCACTTATGACACCCACAAAAATTGGAAGATTGTATAATGTCCTGTCCTACATGGGGCACATCAGATGATTCCTTACATATGAAATAATTCCTTCTGTAATATATTTTCCACACATAGACATCCAGTTTAATATGCTAGTATAGTAAACGACTATATATGTGCACAGATAGATTCAGGATATTCTTCTAAAATCTGCTTGTTTCTTTTTTTTTTTAACAGAACACCTCAGAGTAATCTATCATTTTTTGGCACCACTGCCATTTATTAGTGTTATCTAAGTTGTACTACTTTCCTTGTCACATCATAAGTTAACCTTCCCTAATCACCACCCTGGACATTTACCAGGCCCTCCCTGGGGAGGTGTTTAACCAGAGCCATGATTTTCCTGTTATTATGTACTCCAGGGTTCTGAAATCTCACGTGGATTTTACTCAGAGACTGAGAATAAATCTGTAGGAGTCTGATGCTAGGAATTTAACACACTAAACAGATATATGCCTACTTTAAAAGAACTCCATAGCTGGTGGCATGGCAAGATCCTCAAAGAATCCCACTTTTTGCTGCACATGCTGCTTTTATGGGAGCTTAATGGAAATGGTTTAAAGTCCTCCTCCTCTCTCAGACACCCAGCAGTTTTCCTTCCCTGGACACCCATGGGAAGCAACAAAATGGCAACAATCCAGGGAAAAGGTAAACTCCTTCTGAAAGCACTGAAAGGAAGCACTTAAGCTACAGACATATTACTCATGAAAGACCATTAGCTCAATCTAGGGTCTCAAACAAGACCTTGAAGTCCAAATGAACTGGTCAAAAAAGCCAACCAAACAAAACTCACAGTAATTCCTGGTTTTCACTAGCAAGGATATAGACCAAGCAGAGAGCTAACAATTCAACATCTATTCTCTTGAGGAGTATTTTTCAGCCTTAGAAGGGAAAGTTGTTGCCAATACATCCAAACCCAAAAATTTCTTAGGCTAGGAGAGGAATCCAACGAGAGACCAGCTGTGCTGAGTTAAGGTACTCCACTTAAAACATCCCATCAATCACAGAGCAGGAGAGTGCTGACGTTATTTGTATGAAATGTAAGAGTGCTATTACTCACCTGCAATTAAAAAGAATAGTTTGATTTGGTTTCTTGCCGAGAGAATTATGTGAATATTTTCCCTTTTGCCAGGTTATGAATTTTACCATCTTCCATAATCTGCAGGTAGCATTCCAGGTTCTGACTAAATTGTGAATGATACAAGTCAGATCATTTTGGAGGGGAAATCATTCTTTTTCTGAAACCTAAACTATAAACCTTTGTTTCTTTTCATCCACATTCTCTGCAAGGGGCTGGCTTACAATGTCATGAAAGCACTATTTTAATTGGTACACTTTTTTGGCACAGTTTGAGAAGAGTCCAAGATCTGCATGGAGACTTGATTATTCCACCCTCTCTGGATTTGGACCCTCAAGGCATGGATTAAGATGAGACATTAATGGGGCAGCATGCAAAAGCTTGTATTACTGAAATAGATCTCCTTCGTAGATAAAAAGAAATAGGAACTTTCCAACTTGCAATTCTAAGCAAGAACAAAGCTACAGATGGGGAGAAGAGTCAGACAAGGATCTGGGTAAAGACTAGTAATGCATTGAAAGCATGGGAGCCATCTAGAGGGGACTTTGTCTGGGTTGCATCTTCCAGTGTTAGGAACCAGGAGCTCACAAAGCTCTAAGCGCAGCTTTATACCATGTCTGGCAAAGGGAATCATTTCATGTGCATTAAATGCATGAATGCAATTTAAAAAACAAACAAAACAAAAAAAAAGACAAGCAAAGGCAGGTAAAGAGAGTTATTCTAAAGAGAGAAACTCTTTGGGTAAATGCCCTTGGTTCTTTTTTATTTTCCCCCAGGTTCAAATCTACCATTTTCTCTGTATTCTTTTTAGCTGACATGGAGCTTCTTCATACCAAGTTGCCTCAATGTTCATCAGAGTAAGAACACATAAAAACTTTAAAGCATTAAAAAAATTTTTTCTTGCTCCCAGAGACATTTGCCTGAGGACTTCTCTCCCAAAAAGTAAAATTAATTTTAAAAAAATTTTGAATACTCACATTATAGAAAACAATTCACTAGAGGAGTATCCATTCAGCCATCTTAAAGCTATTTTTTGATTCAGGTCATGAGAATCATAAAGTGAGTTAACCAAGTCTGGGTATAAGCTACAGCTCTATCTTGATGCTGTATTAGACAGATACTCAAGCATCCATATGTCCACCCCTTCACTTTGGTTTCTGAAAGAAAGAAAATAAAGTTTGTGAGACTGAAGGGTCCCTGTTTGCACTCTGATGCTTCAGGAGATGCCACACAGCATTTATCTAACACAAGCAAATAGAGCCAAGAAACATAACACATGAGTTACAAAAACCAGCCTTTTTAGTATCCAGTGGAGGAAAAGTAACCACTCACTCTTCCCTTAGTATTCCCACTCCTAATTACAAGAAACCATCTAAATGTTCCACCCAGAGGGTTGATATTGTAAAGCAACAGCTAAACGTGGCCTTACAAAACACAAGTATTTTGTCACATAAGTCTTTCCCTGGCAGTTCACTTCCACGTGGCTTTTTCCTACTTCTCAAACTTCTTGAGGATGTTTGAGGGCTTAGATAACACAGAGTAACCTGTCTTCTTGTAGTGGAGAGACAGAAAGATTTGAAACCGTCTTATCTCGGGGTCATATCCTGCCATTGATTTTTTTTAGCACTCCCTATTGATTCCAGCAGTGAGTTCCACATACGGATCAATACCAGGATATAGCCTTTATTTATTAGTACACTTCTGGTCCTTCCACTCTACCCTAATGCCTCAAAACACGTGGAATTAATTACAGCATTCCACATTGTATTTGCTTTGTTGTCTTTAGAGGAGTTAAGCCTTCATTTGGTCAACAGAATAATTCGAAAGGATTGTTTTGTGACTTCTGCCATTGATCCAAAAATAGATCCTGTGACACATTCTTTAGGGGCAGGGATGAAGGAGAGAAGCAGAGATATGTGGATAAGCAAGTCCTTTGGCTTTACCAGCACTTCCCACTTGCAGCAGCACTAAATTCCCAGCAGAAGTTTCTTGACAATGAAAAATTCTCTGCACTGAATCAGTGGTCTGTTTGTCCCGACCTAGCCTGATCTTACAGACATCATGTACTAAAGAAATATATGTCAGGCACTTGGCTGAAAGTTCCCCTACTACTCATTTCTGAACTTCATCAACATCTTTTGCTTATCAGGTCAGGCATACGGAACTGGAATTTTCAAGGAGTTCATCAAATATGCATTTTTTACTTCCTGGGACTTGGAAGAGCAGCAAGCTGAAACCGACCTGGAAAAATTACTATATATTCTCCAACTGCCAAGAGCAAGACTAATTTCAGCAGTTTTTCAGTAGTTCTGACTCAGGGCCTTGGCCCCATGCTGCAACTGGGCCCTATAGCTTTACCAGCCTGGCTTAGGTTTGATACAGATTTCAAACTGCACAGAAACTGAAAGGTGAAGTGTCTTTAAGTAAAGTGCCTTTCATTTCTCCCTCGTATCACAGAATTCCTTCACAGATGCAGGCATGGGTTAAAGCTGGCCATGGGACTAAACTGAATGTTCTGTCTCCTGAGAAATCAGATCTTCTACTCAAAGTTGTAACATTTAATGGCCAAAATGCAACACTATATTTAAAAGCAGAGTAAATAAAACACTTCCTTCCTAGGTGCTATGCCTACATTACCTTTCTGCGCTCTGCAAAATAGCACCAAGGTAACCTTATGCATTCAGAAGACTTTTTCTTTAAAAACAGAAAACCAAATAATCTTGTCAGTGTTTCTAGAATTACACTAGAGGCAGAGCAGAAGATGAACAGTCCCAAATTTTTCATCTATTACCCAACCAGTGAATCCTTGTATTAGGATGCAATAAACCAATAGGTACTTTTACAAGTACTGCCTGCACCTGGGTACATTTGATTTAACCGAAGTGGGCAAAGGAACAAATGAGCAAGGAAAAGAAAGTGCAGAGGGAAAACAGAGCTTCAGCATTTGTTCAACTGCCTTGGAGCCTTAGGAAAACATCAGTGCTCTGTTGACTTTACTTCTCTTGTTCTCCTTTACATCACTGGAGGGTCTGGCCTGTGCTTTAAGAAAATACTGCTCCTTTTCAATTGTTAAATAGTGACAAAGTCCAGGTGACCCTAACACAGAGCCTGAGTGGTTTATGTCAAGCCTGGAGACAGTGACTCATGGAGTCACAGATGATCGGTTGATAAATGCCACCGGTATCAGAAACTTGGCCATTAACATGAGTGATGTGAGAACCAAGAGGTTAAGTAAAAGCTACTTCCATAATGAGGGCGTGATACAGAAAAGCAACCATTTCACCCAAGCTTGGATTTTTGGTTTTGTTTCTCTCTTCCCCTTAAGGTGGATTTTACTTTGTAACTTTTGCTTGCTTTCTAAGTTCTTTTTTTAATGTAAAGTTTTAATTTTTCATGAGTGGGAAAAGGCTACAAAAATGTTAGAAAGAGGTTCAGATGAACCACCAGGAGGTCCACTAGGATTTTTTTTTTTTCTTCAAGATTCTACTGCAACAATGCAATGCGTTTGCCACAAACTGCTGGGTTTTGGAATTGCCTTTGCTTCAAAGTGACTCAGGAGCTGTTTTTAATGTGTTTCTAGGAAAGAGTAAACTGTATTATTACATGCATTACAAGCAGTAAGTTCCTTTATCTACAGCCAAACATAAGACCAAGGACTTTGCTGATGCAGAGCCCTCATGAAATCTTCCAAAGTTTTATTGCTTAAATGTATAAGCAGGCAGCACCTTAGACAACTGCTCTGAGCAGTCTTCTTAGCTGCAATTCAAGAATTCAATATGGCATTCAAGTCATTGTATTCCACTTTTTATAATCTTCAGTGATTTAATGCAAGAAACCCTACAATTTAGAAAAACTGTGGGAAGCTTTGGCTGCCAACGTGCAAAATCCCATTAATTATCAAAGTAGAAGCTAGTATTTCATAGTGGGGATAACTAATTCTGAAGCATTTGTATGTAAAGTATGTATGCTGTATTTTTAGTGCACCAAGCATTTACAGTCATATTTCTTCTCTTCATCATCTTATTTCAATAAGAAAGAAGAAAAAGCAGTTTAGGCCACTAAAATTACAGATGGATTTATGAAAATGCAGTCCACTCATCAGAGGATTTAAATAAATGTAGGGAAAGAGGTAAGATGTCTTCCTGGCTTGTGGAGGCTTTAAGCATAACAGAGAATGCCCTCTCAAGGCTGAGTATTTAATGTATTTCAATCTAGTAAACATATTCCATTCTCTCTCAAGAGGAGAGGCTAAAGTACAATTGATCATATATTCATCAACAGTAACATGAACCATTACCAGAAATCCATTTTGCAGTAATAAATATTTTTCTGTTATATTTCAGTTTGAAATTAAGTTATTATTTACCTACAAATACAGGGAAGAGGAGTTTCCTTTTCTCTTTCCATGTTCAAAATTATTTTAATTATTCATACAGTGGGAAACAAAAGAAGTCAAAATCAGAATGAAACATCACACATGATACTTTCTCAACCTCTTCAATAAAAACTTCTTCTGGTGGAATTCCTAGTCAGTTCAGGATTTTGGAAATCTTGCTTCTCTCTGGTGTGTGAATAAACATGGAAAGCTTTAAATATCTGCTAGAGATCATCTTAAATTTGCTTAGAGATAATTTTATTTTGTGACACCGGTCTTAACACTTGAATGCAGATTTATTAATCCATCTTTTCCCATCAGAAGCCAGACTGGAACCCAGGAGCTCCCCACAACACACATCAGGATTCTGGCAAGGTATGATTTCCCCTACATGATCCTCCCTTTCACCTCTTCCATGCCAGCTTTGCTCTACTATCAAAACTGCTGAAAGATGAAAATTATCAACCTCATGATGCTCCAAACTTGACTGAACCAGCCCTGAACAACCTTGGTCTAGCTGGACCAAGTTTGAGCAGGGAGATTCTCATGGCATAATTAAAGGAATTATATATTGTTCTTGACCTTCTGAACCAGGTAGAAGCAAAATTTTTATCTCAAAATGTAAAACTGAAAATTCAAATAGATTTTACATTAAAAAAAATAAGAATTGCTGAGAATGAAAACTACTTTTTGCCTTATATTAGGCCATTATAAGGTGAAAGTGCTGACTTTTTTTTCTTTTTTATAGTACTGATATTCATATCAGCCAAAGCTTCCAGACCTGAAAACAAAGTCTTGAATTTCCATCTTGCATTTTTTTGAACTTTCTGGGCGTGGAAATTTGGGTAACATGCTGAACTCAGAAATGATTTGACATTATTAATTTGAAACGAAGAAGTGATATTTGGCTAGAAGCAAGTGGAGGCCCATTCTGTGGCTTGGGAATTCAACATCTGGTTGCAGAAAACAGCCAATAAGCAAATCTTGCAACATTTGTGAGCAAGATGCAAGATTGTAAGACGATTACACCCTGGAATCTGTAGCGTGCAATCCATCCATTTTGGATCATCTAACAACACAGCACTCCTGAAAAGCAGGCAGCACGTATTGCAGTGGTTAATAAAAATTTAAATGGCTTGGCACACTCACAGGAAATCACAATTGTCTCCTTCGTGTCACATAAGAAAAGCAGAGCAGCAAAGGAGAGGCTCCTTATGAAGACCAGAGCAAAGGAAAGAATTTGAAAAAAGGAGATGTTGGATCTGTTAGAGTGGCAGACTGGAGATTATTTTGAAGTGATGGAGTTATTATAGCTGTATGAAATCCCCCTTCTTTACAAGGAAACAAAATTAGAAGGAAGAAACCAACAAACACAAAAGTGCACACTGTCATTAGTGCTGGCTCTTCGGCTCCTAATAAATGACCCGAGCTGTCTGCAACACCAGAGCACTCACCAGTTTGAAAGTCCTGAAACTTTTCCAGAGGCTGTTTTGTTTATTTCTGTTGTAGCCAAATCCACTTAACAGGGCACTGTGATAAACACCCCTTTCCCTTGAGTTGTCCTGATAGTCAAGAGACTGAGTGCCAGGTGCTCACAAAATGTGGTAAATAATTGTCTGTCTCACCCACTTTAGAAGCAGAGCTGCCATTCTGTGCAAGCCTGCTGTGTTTTCCTGATGTACCTGCTGGCTGCTGCTCTTACTTTGTTTTCTTTTGTCAGGCATTAAGTACAATCTGTGGGTTAATAAAATTTTAAGCATTTTCTACGATGTTCAGTCAGGC